TTTTTTTTTTTTTTTTTTTTTTTTTTTTTTTTTTTTTTTTTTTTTTTTTTTTTTTTTTTTTTTTTTTTAAAAAAAAAAAAAAAATCTATAATGTCTATATGTATATAACAAAAAATTATGATTGTGTCTAAAATGTACGAAACGATGTGTGATTTGTGAATAGTAAAAAAAAAAAAAAATTTTTTCATCGAGAATATAAATTCGATTTTTTTTTAAAAAAAAATGTCAAGCGGTTTGAATCATAAGTGGAGGTGCAATGGATCTTCTCCGATGCATCATACTTGGTGGAGGAATATACGGTTCCTCGAATTCGTCATCGCTATCGCTATCGCTATCGCTATCGCTTTCGCTTTCGCTCTCGCTCTCGCATTCGGAAAATTCTTCGGGTGGATAATGTGTGTCATACTCTTCGTATGTTATCTCTTCGTCTAGATTTGATTTTTTATTTGCTGTGATTATAAAAAAAAAAATGAATGGAAGAATAATCGTAAATTCATTGGGCATCGTGTTAAAAGTAACCAATCAATAAACACCAAAATTACACTTACCATCAAAGTACGAAGTTTGCAAGGGTTCTGCCGAATATGTTGAATTTGTCGGTATAGGTAAATTGGGAAAGAATAAGAAACGACTAATATAAAAAGCAAATGGGTGAACATCTGGAGCAACCGGATATAGCGTGTTTGAGATTCGTGACGCGAATATTCGCTCAAATGCATCCACGTCATCGATCTCATCGGCCGTGTTCAGTGAATATTCGTCTAACCCAAGTAGGCGACGTTGATATGCATAAGGTGATGTTAATATATCCACTATTTCCTCTACATCGGGTCTTTTTGATGGATCCGCGTCCCAACATCGTACCATCAATTGTTCATAAAATAACGGGGTACCAGGTACAATTGTCTCTCGAAAACCGTGACAAATTTCTAAAGCTAATGAATGGTCATGTGGCCTATCAGAAAATGGAGGTTTCCCTGATGAAAGTTCCCACATAATAAACGCAAAACTATATATATCGGCCTTAGCGTTGAATGAACCTCCAGCCAAAATTTCGGGAGCTATGAATGGTAAGGATCCATAGACCCCCCGTGACTCTGGTGAACTTGCGGGACCAGATAAACCAAAATCAGCGATATTACAACTATAGAACTTTAATATATTTCCGCTGTGAAGATTTTTATGGTATGTTCCATTCTTGTGTATATTTAATAGACCCATCGCTACATTGCATAACATTTCAGCAGCATCTTTCCATCGAAGCGTAGCCATGTTTCGTTGTACATAATGACGCAGATCTCCGTCTTCCGCATAGTTCATGACCACCATATATTCTCCCGTTTCTGGATGTTGTGTTACACCATGACAATGTACAATATATCCACACCCATCCAATTTGAGACTACCATGACGCTTAAACTAATAAAGGTTTAGACAAAATCCGATGAGAATGATATTAAAAAAATAAAAAAAATAAAAATGAATTATACCAACCTCGTCCAAAAATTCATCACCAAGGTTCTGTGAGTTCTTTAGGGATTTTAGAGCAACCACAAGTGGCTTTTCTACAAAGACCTGTTTCGCACCATCCCATACTTGATCTTTCTTATTCTTCCAGGTAGCAGAAAAAACAGAACTATGTCCTCCTTTTGCTACAAATTTGACTTCGCCAAAATTCTCAAAAGGTATCCATTGCATATGAAAGCGAGGATCCCTGATGGATAAAATAGAATTAATTAACGATTAGGAGGCCAAAAAAGATATTCCACCGAGCAAATTACTTGGGAAAGCATTTTATACAATAAAAACAAATATTTGTGTTGGGTACGTACGGTGTTTCTAGTTGGGTTTGTTGTATAAATTTGTCTAAAGTATCATTCCCGCTCGTCCAAGTTCCAAATTCATTGATAAGTCGAAGCCTTTCTTCCCATTGCCAATCATCGTCTGCAAAGTCACCATCTACACTTTTATCATCTTCATGGTCGTCAAGATAATGAAGGCTACTTAGACTAAAATCTTCAACCTTTGTGACCATGATATAGTTTTTTTTTTTTCAAAAAATTTACAACGAATATAATAGTATATGTATATATATATTTTTTTTAATAAAAAAAATTAAAAAATAAAGGTAAGGTTTTATGTTATTAAACGATAATTTTTGATGTAAAAAAAAAAAAAGTAGAAAGCTTTATCGTTTGGAAAGAAAAAATAATTGAAAAGTGTATAAGTTTTAAAATGGAAGAAGAATGAAAATTTGAACAATTTAATCGAAAAATTGAACAAAGGGGTTTTAATGATTTATGATCAACAACCAAATTGTCATTCGTAAATTAATTTACTAAAATACCAAACCCTCAGCCCTACCCTATTTATCGGAAATGACTGATTGGGCGACGTATTGACATTGAGTAGGACAATTAATTTGGATACACAAGTCAACAACAATCGAAAAATTTCTAATGAAGAACAAAGGTAAAAGAATGAATGCAATCCACGTGGCACAGTAAAGAATCGACATTAAACCTCGTTTCTGTTATGCAAGTAGACTAAAAATGAAGAAGAGTGGAACCTGCAACACATGAATATGACATAATCATTATTCCTCACTTCGCAGATTATCCGAACAAACGAACACTTCATTGACACCTTTTTTCACATTATTATAGCGGCAACTTTAAGTTCCTTTCTGCGAATTATCATCTTTACACAGGGATCCCTTTATCACGTACAAAAAGCAAGGTACATCTTCATGTGGTCAGGGTAAATTAGAGATGCCGCAAAATATTTTATGAATTTAGGTTAAATAAATGCCAAAATTGGTTTAAACCCGCTTCCAACTTTCATCAACTTCCCCAGGAATTGATGTACAATAACTACCAACTGCATAATTTCTCCCGCAAAAGTTCTATTTTTAGGTGAATTGTTATGTTCTCTGCATTTAATTAATCAACTTTTTAATATAAATTGGGACTTTATTCAGATGATACGTTGGAATTTAGGTCAACTATTCTTTATGGTTGTTCGAAACTGTATTCCCATAGATTATCTTCATTGTAAAACTGTAAAACAAGGTTCAAATCTTTTATAGTTTAGAACTGTCAGCTGTCAAACTTGTCAAAAATGGTTATGGGTGAGACAACAACTCGTTACCAACCGTCAATTCCGTTGACAGAACAATTCACTTTTCTGTCCGAAATTTCTATGCACGGAATGTGACACGAAAAGATTGTGTGCAGACAAGTATAACAAGCGAATCAAGAATCTGCACGCTGCACTGCCTAAGTTTGTTGGCGTTATCTAAAGTTAGTTTTATTTTTATTTCTTTTTAGATCGTCGTCAGTAATTTAGATGTTTCGTAGATTTTACATATTTCTTTGTAATTTCAGGAAATTTTAACCGCTATAGGCTACAAGGCACATTTTTTTTTTTCTTCGGGTCGTTTCTATATCCGGGTAACTTGCAAGCTTCTTTGTGAAAAAAAAATCATTATTTTTTTTTTTTAACTTTAATTGTAACCAATAATTTTTTTTTTTCGTCATTGTTAAAAATAACTTGTCACAATTGAATTGTTCATTGTTAACAAGATTGATTGAATAATGGGTTTTTATTGATCTATTTTATTATAGGTTTATATTTTAAAGGAGGATTTTCTTTATAAATTTTATTTCTGGTAAGATGGGTGTTGTTCAACTTACTAAATAAAGGTAATCGTTCCGGGTTCTCACAATATAATCTTTCTACCATTTTAGTTCTATTCTTCTAGTAAAAAAAATTACAAAATATGGATAAAGAGGAACAACAGACTAGATTGGAACAAAGGTTGGCAAACATAACAAAGAACATCAGAACTGGAGTATGTTTTAGTGAGATCGTTAAGAGAAGATATTTATATCATATTTTGATTTTTTGATTTAAAGTTCTAAATATCGTAGATCAAATTTTTCTTTTTTTTCATATAGAGTCCAACTCCTAGTTCGCGCGGAAGGATTGATGAACTTGAAAGTCGAAATTTTACTCTTGAAGAAGAGGTAAAAAAAAATTTTTATTTCTTTTTATTTTTATTTGTTTTATTTTATTTTTTTTTTTTCGAGTAATAATATATTTTTTTTCTTTTCAGGTTAAAGATCTTAGAATTCAATTAAACGGAAAGCAAAATGAGATCAATAAAATTCAAGAATTATTAAATAAGAGAACTGGTGAATATATATTGATTAGATTAGACTTAATATCTTATTTATAGTGATTTTTTAACGTGCATTTTAAATTTTAGTTGAGTTGGAAAAGACAAAAAATGAATATGATGAGAAAATGAAAAAAATGAGGGGTAAATTACTTAAATTTTTTATTTTATTTTTAAAAATAAAATTACTCAAACATTTTATACTTATGCAAATATATAGGCATTTTTAATGGTGCTAATAAAACATTGATGGAGTTAAGGCAAGCTAATGCATCAAAAGATTCAGAGATAGAACAACTTAAAGCAACTATGGAAGGCATGGAAAAAAAGCATGAAGAAACTACAAACATGGTAGATGAAAACCAAAGTTCGTGATAAAGATTTATTATAAAAATATTGATAAGATTATTTTGGAATAGTTTGCTTATGTTTTTTATCTTTTGATTTTTCTAGAGTCAATGGAGAAAATTACGACAGAATTGCATAGTCAGTCGGCGATGTATAACGCACAAATAGAGCAATTGGTAATTATTAAATATTGATTTTATATATTTCACATTTGCTAAGAGTTTTTGTAATATTTATTAGGAATCCAAACTCAGACAATCAAACCAACAAGTTAATCAAGTAAAAGCGGAGTTTCAACAGTACAAAATAAGAGCCCATGCATTACTTGAACAAAGGAATTCAAATAATGAAGGTGATGTCTCAAGTGTAGATACTCTAGAATTAGTAGCTTCAAATAAAAAATTGGAATCTGATCTAAGGTTGGCTTAAAATCTATTAAATGAACAATGCTTAATTAGGTTGTGAAAAAATATTTATTTATATAAGAAAAATTGTTTTACATTTTCTTAGTTTTAAGACATCTGAATTGAAGCATGCTCAGGATAAACTTAGAACTACTGAAAGGGATCGAAAACGCGCATGTGAACTTAACGCACAACTTGAAAAAGAATTTGAAAAGGCGCAGAGGGCAGCAAAAGAAAATTCAGAGACCGTAAAATCTATTCAAAAACAATTGGATAGTTTTCAAGAGGAAAACGAACATTTAAAAGCAGGTTTTTAAAATTCTTTATAAACTAGGCATTGTTATCATCATTTTAATATTAAATATGTTAATATTCTAATTTATTATTTAAATTAATTAATTTAGCACTCAAAGAGACGGAAGCTCGTTATTTAGCTAACGTTAAAGATTTCGATCATAGACTTACAAAGGCAATTGATGCAAAAGAAAAAAGTCTCATACAAAAGCAAGAGGAAAATGAAGCCTTACAGAAAATTTCAGAGGTGATATATTAAATATGTTGAATAATTTTTTTTTAAATTTAAATATTTATTAAGATCTTTAGATTTTTTTATTACTGTAGCAACTTGGTGAGGATTTATCACAGCTAAGGTCAGAATTATCACGGCGTAATGAACATATTGATGAACTTCAAAAACAGCTTGCTAATAAAATACCGTCAGCATCAGTCGTAAGGAATGATATTAGAAATGATAATAGCCGTTCTTCATCTCCTTCTTCAGTAACGAGTCGTACTAGTGGTAATTACAGTAAGTAATGTTAATTTATATTTATTATTTATCTACATTTAATGTAATATGCTAAAAAGGTTTTTTTTTTTTTTTTTTTTTTTTTTTTAAAGATACATTATCCGATCTTTTAGCGGATATGGAAGAACGTACATCCAATGTATCTGAAAAAGACAAAGACAAGGATAATTTATTGAAATTGCAGCATATGGCCGAAATGCTGAATGATAGTGAGGCACATGTTCAGAGATTATTAGAACAAGAAAAGGTAAAGGCCATCTTTTTGATGTTGAAATCTATTATTGTTCTCTAATTCGGCCATCTTTTTTTTAGATATTGAAAGAGGAACTTCGTAAGTTAGATAGATTAGAAAAGCGTCAAGATTTAAGTGTAGAATATTTGAAGAATGTCGTTCTCAAATTCTTTGAATCAAATCCTGCCGATCGTGAGCCTTTGGTTCCTGTAATATCAACAATATTACAATTAAGTCCGGATGAAGTACAAAGTTTAAAAGAAAATGCAGTCGATGCAAATTCTAATCCTGTTGTATTAAGTTTTGGGGTTTTGTGAGATAATTTATTAATAATTTAGGTTGACAAGTATTATTATAGTGCTAATGATATTTTATGAACGATAACTTAATAGTTTTTTTTAATTCTAGATTAAAATAATGTCGATGGTAGTAAATTTAGAATTTGAAATAACAATACTATTGTGCATTTACAAAAATATCGAAAAAATATAATTTAATTCTAAAATGGAAAATCCTGTATATAATTAATAATTCATTACCATTTGAAACGAATAATTATATAACAGACGTTCATTATTGTATTAATTACTAGTCAAATGGTCATAGGATTTATTTTAATATGAATTTATTATATATTATTAAAGTAGTTAATGATTTAGGAGAACCATTTTTGTGATAATTTTAGTTCGGAGTTCTTTGAACCTTGACAGATGGTGATGATTCTCTTGAACTTGAAGGTATTTCTTCTGTTCATATGATTTACTAGCTTGGGATCGTTATTTGGATAGGTGAAGAATCTTCCCATCCAATTTCTAAATGAAAATTAAAGTTAATTAGATGACTACAACGCCCATTAAAAAAAAAAAAAAAAAAAGCTTTATTTATATTCACGTTTCCTGGTATAAAAAGTAAAAAGTAAAAAAATCGATGATGATGATTAATCGGAATCAATGCAAACATTGGATCGGAAAAAATTAAATTTATATAGTATCTTCAATCATAAAACATTCAAAATAAAATACTTCTCAAATTCTAGTAAAAGAAAAAAATATAATTTCATCGA